ATAAATGTACAAATGTTACATTAGCCCTCTTAGAACACAATATTATCCAATGTGGGCTTATGATCTTATTCTGGTACATAGAATTTTGTAGGGAGGGATCTCAAAAAGATGAGGAAAAAATATATGCCACAAGGTGCTATAAATTTGAACTAAGAAGGGAAAAAAACAAAATTGGTTTATTATTATTCTCACAAAATCAACGATTTTTGTGACAAATAGAGCGTTTGACATCAGAATTCCTATTTGGAAACCCAGACACAGTCATGCATAACGTATTTATCTTGTTAGTGGTTGTAGTGGGTGATGACCTCCTGGTGATCACCCACACCACTTGGCCTGAAGGGAGCTATCATTATTCTAATGCGTACATGCACACGCGCGTGCGCACACACACACACACACACACACCCATCCTGTAGGTATTTTCCATAGTTCTATTTATGGTCTATGTAGTTTTCTTAAATCTTTGCAAATGATAATGTTATTAAAAATAGCATGAGCTAAGAGAAACTGTTCTTTGACGAGACCAAGGGCCATCAATGCAGACAAATGTCATCTCAAATTTTATTTTTAAGGAAGCTAATCTAACTTAAATTAGTTTCTTATTCTGCTTCCAACCGTTTATTATTCCACGTCGATGCTCTCTTCCGTAAATACATCTTTCATGTTGTCCATCTGTGCACCTGGGTTTGTTTCCTTTTTTTACACCCTACTTTGTTGCATTTTTTTGTTTATTCCATTGAATTATAAACCAAGTAAATCACGTGTGGATCTTTTCATGCACAAACATGAACACAATCACTAGCAGATATAGAATCGCTCACTTTTTCTATTATCTGAAAAAATTTGGTGTTTTTGTAGGGTAATCACCGGTTGGCACAAAAAGGTAGCAATTGTGTTATTTGACTAATTCTCATTGGTTGATTTTACTGTTCTTTTGAAGGGACATGATGACCTAGCGTTGGTCCAAACAAGGTGGGCTTTTGTGAACAAGGATGAGAACTTGCTTACAAGATTGCAGAATATAAACTTAGCCTTCCACTTTGAAGTTGAACAACAAGTTAATGGAGTGTTCATCAACTTTTTTGGTTTCAATGGAACTGCTGGTGTATGGAGAATCAAGGCCCTTGAGGAATGTGGTGGTTGGTTGGAACGAACAACTGTTGAAGACATGGATATTGCTGTCCGTGCTCACCTTTGTGGATGGAAGTTTATATATTTAAATGATGTAAAGGTTGGTAATATATTAATATTTTGAAAGTATTACTTACACGTTTGATTTTAGATGTTGAGTTGAACTTCTCTTTATGTAGTGCCTATGTGAACTCCCAGAATCCTATGAGGCATACAAGAAGCAGCAACACCGCTGGCATTCAGGTCCAATGCAATTGTTTCGCTTGTGCTTCGTTGACATACTGCACTCGAAGGTTTGAAAGATTTTCTTTTGTTTAGCTTTCCAACTATTTTTCAGTCAACTAACTCTAAGGGAATACCATTAAGATGAAGAAGCCATTCAGCATTGCTTTGCAATACTGAGAACTGTCAGAAAGGTAACAAAGAAAAGAAAGAAAAAGAAGACAAAACTTATAGGCATTAGAATATTGGCTGGAGCTCTGACCTTGCATTGACATGCTAGAATAAGGCTCCTTAGATTCATGTTTTTCCGCTATTCAAATTTTATTGATCAAAGAAAATCAATGTACATTCAGCAGAGTGATGTGATTTGTCCAGCTTTGGTTTTTTTTTTTTTTTTTTTGTGGGTGGGGAAGTGGGATTAATCAGGTGTTTTCCACGGGGTACAGACTTTCTCTCTTCTCCTCAAGCTGATTTTAAGGTTCTGAAACTTGGAAGTTGGAACTGCCTTCAAAAACCAACTATGTACCACTGGCTACAATGCAGTAGCAGATCATCATTTAAAATTAGCTCAGAGAGAAAGGAGAAAGGAGGGGGGAGGGAGGGTATCCTTTTAACTGGATTTCATAAGTTTTGTTCTAGGAAGGTATGAGAAGTGAACACACAAGCTAAACATCGAATTTCTAGGAATGAAAAGTTTATTTCAACTTCTTATATCCTTGTAATGTTTTTATTTTAATTTTTCTACAATGTCAGTCTGAATATTTTTCTTTCACATTTCAGGTGAGCTGGGTTAAAAAAGCCAATATGATATTTCTTTTCTTCCTCCTGCGGAAGCTTATCCTGCCTTTTTATTCATTCACACTCTTCTGCATAATTCTCCCCCTTACCATGTTCCTGCCAGAGGCCCAATTACCGGTTTGGGTAGTTTGTTATGTCCCTGGACTCATGTCTATCTTGAACATCATTCCGGCTCCACGGTCATTTCCATTTATAGTGCCCTATCTTTTATTTGAGAACACCATATCGGTGACCAAATTCAATGCCATGATATCAGGATTGTTCCAATTGGGAAGTTCTTATGAGTGGATAGTTACTAAAAAATTGGGCAGATCATCAGAGGCAGACCTATTTGGCATGATGGAAAATGAATCCCAACCTCTAGCCGAAAGTACCAATCTCCACAGGTCCTCTTCAGAATCGGGTCTTGCTGAGCTTAACAAATTAGAGATGAACAAGAAAACTGGAAAACATAAAAGAAATCGTCTGTACAGGAAAGAACTTGCCCTAGCATTTATTTTGTTGACTGCATCAGTGAGAAGCTTGTTGTCTGCCCAGGGAATACACTTCTATTTCCTATTGTTTCAAGGGGTCACATTTTTGGTGGTTGGTCTTGATTTGATTGGAGAACAAGTGAGTTAGCCTGAAATCTATTTACTATATTTGCATTGTTGAAAGCTATTTACTTCCCCGAATTTAGGCTGGGATGGGAAGTCACATTGACTATAGCTTTCGAAACTTAGCTGATCATTCTGTGTGATGGTGGTCCTAGGCCCCCCCAGTTAAAACCAATATCTTGTGCAGGCTCATATTTGCAAGTCATATATGTGTTTGAGCAAAGGATTATTGTACCCTTTATTACTGCCGGGTTAGATGCGGTCAATTAATGTAAAGTTTTCTTAAGAGTCATGGAGATGAAATTAGTTAGATGGTAGCATTTTTTTTGGGAAAAAAGGTGAAGAAGGGGGGGGGGAGCATTCTTCTGTCAGCATATTCGTTTGGTGCAATTGTGTTGTAAACCTTGCCTGTGTAAATTTTGCAGTTATTTTGTTGGATTATCAAATTTGTGATTCTTTATTTGTTAGTGACAGATGGTGTACCATCACAAATCTTTATCATAGCAATTTGAAAATTAATTCATATTTTATGTTTTATATAATGCTTGTTTCTGATAAGGTAATACCGCACTGTTGGATGAACTTTACCTGGTGTTGCCTGCTTTTGTTGTATTGCCTTGTATTATCTGTAGGGATGTGGACCATGTGGTTGTCTATTTGCATTTGATCCTTCAACATTTTCTAGGGGTGGTATTATTAATTTTGTGTCGTATCACTTTTGATCGTACGCTAGATACAGTGGATGATGCAGTGCCATTTAGAGGCCTATGCCTGATGTACAAACACTTGAATGCTCTTTAGACCAGGCTTGCGGCATTGAAAAATTTAGAGGGCTGTGATTTTCCTCATATATCATACACAATTTTTGAGACATTGGGTTTGACCCCCTTTCTGTACTCTGAAAATTATTCTTCTTATGAGAAACCAGGAGTCCAACGACCATACCTCCATTTTTTTATAAAGTGACACGGTTAAAATTTTATTATTTTATTACTCATTCAATCAATAATTGCAAATTATTAAACTAAAATTAATGGCTACTATTAATTTTAATACGGTACGGTGAATACCAAAAAAGTGAAAAACGAAGGAAACATTTTACAAGGAGTTCACTACAGAGATCAATATCCAGCAATTATACACCTTACACTCACCATGTGGAAGCTACCAATCTTGATCCTGATGATGCTAACTTTTTTCTGTCTATAAAATTTCTTATCCCTTATGCTACACATATATTCTATACTTGTCAAATTCACCCCTGTTCCTTAGTATATATAAATCCTAGGCACATTACATATATGACATTAAATCTGAATTTAATCTTTGAAGCTACATACATATGTTAATATCTTCACATGAAAAGGTACAACTATATTAAGACAATGATTCTATGCCTCCCATATCACATAGACCCAACTCTTTTCAATCTGTACCTTTTTATATAATACAATATCTATGCTTCGCATAATTATATCTATTTTAATCTAAATTTGATTTCCTTGCTATTGTTCTAGTGGTATTCAAATTGTATTTGTTACACTTCTAATTTATAAATTTCATTGCTATATTTCAATAGTATTTTGTGTTTGACGACTTAGAAAGAAGATGAAAAATTACGACATCAACAATCTAACATCCTCAGTACAAAACACCTGACAATTATTTTTTTCGTTAATCACAACACCTCATCAAAGACAATTACTCCCTCTATTTGACTGAGACCCACTGAAAATCCCCAAGACAAACACGCCAGCAGAGAAGATCAACAAGCACAACACACAAGGACTTTAAAAGCAAGTTCTAAACATCGTAGTATTGAACAGGTGTTATTGTAGCTACAATACCAACTCTGACCCCCCACCCAAAACACACACACACACACACACACACACACACACACACACACACACACAAAATAAAAAGACAAACACCAAAGGGTAGTTAATAAAGGTTGGGCAGTACAGGCTAAACATCCTTCAAGAGACTAAAAAGAAGGCCATATGGAATTAAGCATTTCTGTTTAGATCAAAGGATGACAAACAAAAACTCCGAAGTTTGTGGATTAAATATCATCAAATGTAATAGCTTAACACTATTACTATGACAACCCATACGAGAAAACTCATTACGACCTTTTTATCTGTGCCTAAAGACCAAGTAGTCCTAGAAACAAGGGAAAACATGATAGGAGCAGCACAAAACCAGGCAGTTTTAATATCTCCACCAAAAGTCCATCTTGAACTCCACTTACGCCTTGCTGTCAATGCTCATGGGTTCTGCTTCCTTGGCACTAGCTTTCTGCATAAGTGAAAGAGAACTTGTAACAATAGTGGATCAATTCACAATTTCACGCGCGCATGTCTGTGTGTGTGTGTGTGTGTGTGTGTGTGTATATATATATATATATATATATTGCTATATTGCTTATCAGGAAGTGAGCCAAGATGATGCTAGAGGCTTACATTGGACTCAACCTTGTTCAACTTGGCAAACATGTTTCCATAAAATTTAGCATCCTTCTTGTTGTACTCCTTTACCTTTTCCTTCAAGGCTTTATATTCCTGCTTCACATCCCTGGTGGCCAACACAAAGCAGAACCAACAAATTGACTAAACCCATAACTTCAACAAAAGTAACAACAGATCACGACAATACTTCCTATGAGAATCTTAAATGTCTAGAACTTCGAACATACCTGTTGTTAGGATCAATTTCAAGTGCTTTCTTGATATCCAGCTCAGCCAAATCCAAATCAGCTAGGTTCATATAGGCTTGAGCTCTCCGGTAAAGTGCCTTGACATTAGTGCTCTCAATTTCCAACACCTGCAAGTTGACATTCATATGAAATTTAGCAAGAGGACCCCGAAGATCCAACATAAGAGGGCTCTGATTTAAGCGAAAATGACACTTCTTTTTATTCAGTATCTATCAAACCTTTGTGCACAGCTTCCCTGCCTCCTTGTAATCTTTTAACTTCAGTTTGCAAGCTGCATTGTTAAGATTGCAAGTGATCTTCAATGCTTTGGACAGCTGCTTTTCTTCCTCACTGAAGGAGGTATCATACTCAATGTATTTAGCAGCCTGCACAAGAGAAAAAGGGTCATCATAAACTATTAAGTGACATAGCCACTAACACCAACTTCCCTTCAGTGAAATCAATATGTTCCACTGAAATGGATACCTTCTCATATCTCTTGGAGGCCTTCGCGTATTTACCCGCCTTGAACAGTGTATTTCCCTCTTCCTTCTTTTTGCCAGCAGCCTCAATTTTCTCTTGTGTGTTCATATCCCATGATTCCTTTTCCTGAAGGCACCAAATGATAATGATCACTTGAACATGTCCCTGGTCTTACCATTTACAGTTGGAAAATACACTCGTTTTGAGACTTATAATATTACCAACCTTCACAAAGGACACAAGCTCGACCTCATAGCACAAGGAGGAGTTGGGGGGAACTACAGCCAACTCCTGTTTTGACTCGGATAAACCAAAGGCATATTCAGGTGCGATCGTGAGCAGCGCTACTTCCCCCTTCTTCATTGTCATCACAGCTCTATCAAGCCCATCTATGACTTGTTCTACTCAAGAAATACCACAGATAAGTAAGAATGATGCAGCAACAATACCCATTCAAAATCAAATATATCAGATAGGCAGCAGTACCTTCATCTGTCTTAAACTCAAAAAGCTCTTCATCATTATCATAACCCTTCTTAATGAAAACTGTACCATCTTGTAGCTTGCCAATCAATTTCACTGCCAAAAGCACATGAAACAAATTGTAAGAATTTACACACAATACTTGGCAAGCAAAAGAATACTCAAGCCTCTGATGGCCAATGACTTGCAACTAACATTTGACAACAGCTCCTTCATTTGGTCGTTCATATCCCTCGCCTTCATTCAGGATCTTCTTAAGAACTTTCTTGTCATCCGTTACGTTTGACACAGTCTTCCATGATACTAGCTCAAGAGCAATCTGCAATGTAGCATTTGGTGGGACTGCACCTTCATCACCAGAAGCTGGCTTGCCCTTCTCCCCAAACCCATCTGCAAAAAAATATAACCCAAATAAGCAATTACTTCTCAGAGCAAAATTGCTATATACTTCAAGAGGACAACTTGCATGCAAGAAAGATCCTTACAATGTGGCTTAACTGTGAGAAGGACCTTTTCTCCTTTCTTCATTGTTTTCACAGCCTTAGCCAGAGCAGGACAGAAATGACCTGTTCACAGAAGATTGCACATCAGGAACATACCTATAATGTAACTATAAAACAACCGTCAAAGTCTACAAATTCAATATACTTACCATCCTGAACAGTGAACTCCAGCCCTTCTGATTTTGCAATCAAGGTTCCATCCTCAAGCTTAGCTTCATACTTGACTGCATTGATTGAAGCAATCCACATCCACATGGTTAATAATGATTCAATTTAAGGAGCAGTAAATTATAAATCAAAAGGATATCCAGATTTACCGAACACTTCATCAAGGTCCTTAGGATTTTCCCATTTCTCCCCCTCAGTCAGTATCTTCTTGAATATTCCACCATCCTTGCAGATGTCCTTAACACTTACCCAAGACAGCAACTCCACATCAAACTGGAGGGTGGCATTGGGAGGAATGGTTGGAGGAGAACCAGACTCCCCATAAGCCAGCTCAGGAGGGATGGTGAATATGGCATTTTCACCTTTCTTCATTGTCTTGATACCCTGGTCCCATCCCTTGATTACTTGTCCTGTCAAAACAATGAACATCCGTCACAACAAAAATCCTATTTCTGATCAACAGATCTATTTCCACTGAATAGACAATTTCATGAAGAAGTTTACAGTAGGCCAACCTCAGATATAGAAAAAACACAAGCCATTTCTTCTGCCATTAGCCAATGTATAAGGACAATAGAACACAAAATTAAAAATTTTAAAAAAGAGGAGCAGAATTGCCAATTATGTAAAATAAAGGGAGGATAACGTAAGAGTATAGAAGGCAATGTCCATTTGTAAGGTAAATACATCAGAAAATAAGAAAGAAAAAACCATTCACCATGTCACCTCAGAAAAATCATGATATTAGATGGTCTACCAAGTTGATGTAGTAAAATCAAATTTTATGTTGACCACAGCTAATGATTGATCAAGCAAGGCAACACAAGTAATATCTCTTACTCCTCACTACCGAGGCAGAAAGGCTCGTAAGTTCAGGGCCTTCATTACACCCAACGGGAAAACAGCAGCGAAGAGCCATTAAAGACCTTCACATAGACCATGGTCAAAGGCTCTTTCGATATTCTTAAAAAGACGGATTAGGGCACTGGTCAGGTCCAGAACAAGGGATGATGGGTTCCTACACTGTTGATGTATCTGTTGTAGACCATTTCACAATTCTTGAACTAGAACGTTTCAACAAACCTAGAAAATCAAGGGAAACAATCGAAAAATGGAAAAAAAATCTTTTAAAAAAACAAGTTTTTAGACTGTCCACATCAAAATAAGCACCACGTTCCCCTCAAATTTCTTGCCTAACAGAATGTCAACCCAAATGCCCAGTCCAATCCCATTCCAAGGTAATTCCACCAAATTTTAATAAAGAGGGACGATAAAATAAACTATTCATTCATACAATCACTTTACGAGAAAAGTTAAGAATGGTGAACTGATCGCCACTCCTACCATCAAATAAAATTCAGTACTAGCAAATCCAAACCTCCAATTAAAATATGTGCAAGCAAAATAGAGGAATCAAGCATCAACAAACCAATTTAAAACTTCTCAAGCATTTACCAATTACCTTGTGATAACGCAATTAGTATTCTGACCTTAAGAGATTTAACATTAAATCTCTATGGAAGTCTGACCATTATTCCTCAACGTAAGAGTACAATGATAAAGCATCAGAAACTAAGCTAGTAGTATTGCGACTATTATTACAAATGCAATAGAGTCTAGCAATTTCAGTCTTTAAGTAGTGAAACACGATTTCAGTATTCAAGTATCGGTAACATTGAGTAAGAAGAATAATTAATCATTTCAGCCAACAATAAACTAGTTACAATGCAGCTGCAACATATGTAAAAGATAAAATTTCCACAAACTAAAATGTACAATAATGCATAATCCACACATTAATAGTGCTTAGAATTACAAATTAATCAGCAAGCCACACAATCAAAACAGAAACGCTACCTTGGCCTAGAGTGAACTTGAACGGAGTTCCCCGATCGCGACTTGAATCGAACTGAGTTCCATCAAGCAAAGTCCCAGTGTAATGAACTGAATTTCGAATCAATCACATTTCGATCAGTACCGGCACAAATCAATAAGAATTCAAACGCAACTAAATCAAATAAAACACAACCAGACACATATCGTATGATCAGTAACCAGTACGATCTATACCTTCAACTTCATCGCCATTATCAGGAGTGTCCCAACCTTCACCTTCCTTGACAAGCTTCTTCTTCAATCCTTCCTTGCCGATCTCCTTTTCCTCTCCGACCTTCACAACCGGACTGTCTTCCGGCAGATCCATGTCCTCATCCATCCCCTCCGCCGGTGGAATATCAAAATCCTCATCCATTTCTCAAGAAAAATCCAAAAAATTGGAGAAGAAAAAGCAAAGGTTCGTGTGAGCGTAGAGAAAAAAAGGAATAACAGGTGATCTAGAGGTAGAAAGTGTCGCAGCGTCTGGAGTGGCGCAACGTAAGAGAGGATTTATATTGTGTGAGAAAGAGTGAAGCCGGTTCTAGAGAGTTCTAAATAGGGTTTAGTGAGAGGAAGAGTGACGAAGGGTGCGGATGCTTCCAGAGATCACATTGGTGGATAAGGACGGCCTCTAGTCTCTTGGCGGAGTACGTGATTTGGTGCTTCGCGTGACATTACATTGACTTCGACAAACATGAAACATGGGCCTACAAAACACTGATCTATTGTTTAAGGAAAAAAAATTTTGATCGGAGGGAAAATAGGGTGAATGGAAAAAATTATCATTGTTTAGAATAACAAAAAAACAATGATGGAAAGAAAAATTAGAGGGAGGGTTTTCCATTATGCTCACAATTTGTTTTCCCCTAAAAAATGGGCAAAAAATGAGAAAAAGGCATAACAATTTGACTTTTGAAGAATTATTTTATTTTTTTACCATATTCTAATGATTGGATTAATTTGTAATATTAAAATTCACATAATATATTTAAAGGATAGAATTATAAAATTGGTTATGCATAATTTTCCTTTCTCTTAATTTTTCATCTAATATCAAATAATAAAAATTATATCTTTTATATTTTTTATTCCTCCTACCAAACAAAAATGAGAAAAAATAATTTTATTTTCTTTATGAATAAAAAATTTATTTCTTTCACTTTTTCTTCCTTCTTTTTTTCATCATTCGCACCGAACAAACCATAAGATTAATTCATTTGCTTTTGATCTTTCCTTCCATTGTCTCTGATTTTTCTCTTGTCCCTGGATTTTTATCTACGGCTGTCTATACTTTGTTTTTTTTTTTTTCCGTCGTTTATTTCTCCCGATAGTATTGAGCTACTGGGATGATTCTCCTAGTGTCCAACAAGTTGTGGGCCCAAGTCTGTGCATTTCCATGGGGAAGAAAATTCCCACTAGCAGATCAACCCGAGAGAGTATTGGATTGGATTTGATGTGTTCGGCTTGAAAATTTCGGACTTTACCTTACAAACCCTTATTTTTAGCCTCTGTGGCTCCCCCATGGACAGGGTTCGAACGGTAAATGTGACGAAAGCCACACTAGACTAGTTCAGGAAATTTTTATTTAGAAACATCCTTCCGTAACGAACCAAAAATTAAATATGAGATTGTAGATTAACATTTGGTGAGTCAAGTAAATACCTAACAAATCGAAAATTAAATATGAGATTATTGATTCATTCTTTGCTGGGTGGAGCCCGATATTCCATTGATCATCTATTTTGGTAAGTCAAGAAGAAAAGTCAAGCTAAATGCAGACTTCAATGAATAAATAACTGTGAGGTCGTTTAGTAACGTTTTTGTTTTCGTGTTTTTAAAAAACAAAAAAACATAGATAATTTTTGTTTTGTTTTGGGTTAAACACTGAAAACAAAAAAACATATTTGTGAGTCATTTATGTTTACTAAATTATGAAAATAAAAATAAAAAACATATTTGCTAACTTCTTCAAATTATGTTTGGTAACCTAAACCCACAGATCACCCCTTTCTCTGCCCCTATTCTTTGTCACTTTGTCTTCTCTACAACACAATAAACACACCCACACACAGCGAAATCACACTCCACCTACTCAGAATTCACACACGCACGTAGAACCATAAAAACAGCGATGGAGAGAGGGAGAGAAAACGATGGCAAGAGGGGGGCTGCAATAGAGTGCAAGGGAGAGAGAAGGGCAGTGATAGAGATCTACACACCCACAACAATGTAGATCTAAACACCCACAACAATGGAGGCAACGATGGAGAAAGGGAGACGTAGCAATGGAGAGAAAAGGGCTACGATGGAGTACGATGGAGAGAGAAGGGCAACGATGGAGGCAGAGGTAGCGATGGAGGCAACAATTTTCATCTAATGGTCTGATACAGAGAAAGGAGAGAGAGAAGCCATAGGGAAGAGAGATGTAATGAAATGAGTTTTTAAACTTCACCAAAAAATAAAAACACTTTATTTTAGTGCTAAGAGGACTCGAAACCCAGATCTCATTAATTCTACACCCCTTGCGCGTTGCCTTTGTTTCTAGTGTTTCTTAAAACATCTTTTTTTTGTTCCCATTTTTTTTAGCTTATTTCCTATTTCCAAGACAACTGAGGTAAAATAAAAACCAAAACAATTACCAAACACATTTTTGTTTTTTTTGGGCAAAAATTAAAAACAAAAAATAAAAACAACAAACAAACATCCCCTAAAACTTCAGTTTGTGGCAAAGAAATCATCAGGTGTAGCAGTTATTACAACTTCCAGCTATTTTTTTTTTATCTTCTTTCCGAAGATAATAACAACTACAATGTAGAAGCCAAGGAATAAATTATGGACCTGGAGTAAAATCAGGATGACTAGGGAAGAACGAAAATTTCATGTGATTATAGCTCACTGTCATCCGTGTTTCCTCCGCTTGATGGTTTTCCATTCACTGCGACAAGCTCAGTGTCAAAGACAAGTGTCGCACCACCTGGGAATGTTCAGAAAATAGTCAAATACCTCACAATCAAAATCATTTTTTGACAAGACTTTTTTTTTTTTTTTGGGGGGGGGGGGGGGGGGGGGAGAACGTAAAATGTTGAGATAGAATAGAATCAAATAAAAAAAAAGTTGACAATGCATCACAGATGACACCGCAGCGCATCCACGAAGAAGCCTCTTGGTCAGATATTCTAACAATGATGAACTTGTCACGAAGACTCTTGTCGCATCATTTCAAGAGGTACTGGCTCCGGTTCGCGGATGAGAAACACACTCAACAGCTCAAGAAAATGGAGGCTCGAGACTTAAAACAAATGCCTCACAATGACATAAGCAGTCTGACAATAGAACCAATTGTTGATAGGAGTTGCCTAGGGTATGGGAAAAAAAAAAAATTAATATCATACCGCTATATATTAAATTTGTGGTTACTTTTATTACATTTCTGAGTTCTTTTATTATTATTGTGGTATCCCAAAAAATAATAAAAATAATTATCACAACAAAGATAAAAACATTCATGAATATGGTAAAAATATTCACAAATATAATAAAAACACTCACAACAATGATAAAAACATCCATAAAAGTAATAATTCACTCACAAAAATAATAAATATTCTGATTATAAAATGATTCACAAAAGTTATAAAAATTAGTAATATTACATGGACTTAAAAAATAGACTTGATAATTATAATCATCGATTTCACTATGAATTCTAATATTTATTGAGACTCACTACCTATTCAATGGTTGTCATTATCAAATCTAATTTTTAAGTTCATATATCATTATTCCATAAAAATATCTATTAAAATGGTAAAAGAAGATATAGTACCAAAATTATTTTTTCAGTACCGTAATCAAGTCCTTGTTGAGAACATATTTGTGTCGGTAGAATATAATATACACAAATACCATATTAGCCACAGATTACTTAACTCCGATACCAACGAAGCCGGAAATGCTAGTTTTGCACACAGATTTGGAACCAGCCTAAATAGGATAATTTTATGTGCACCAAATCATTGCCAGCCGTTAGATGACAGTGGGTCTCCCTGATCTAACGGCTGGCAATGATTTAGTGCACATAGCATTGCTAGCCTAAATATTAAGCCAGATCCAAACCAGATCCAATTCAGCTAAAAAGGAACCAAATGTCAGCAACTCAGACCAGCAGTTTTGCTGGAGAACTAAGGAAAATCAGATAAGAGTGTTATACTACTATTAAAATAAATATTAGTTCAGATTCGACAGTCAAGGTGTTATATCAAAAACATGTTCTATCATACTCCTCTATAAATGTTCCAACTTATACACGGATTTGATAGCACACTAAATCATTCTAAGGCTCTTAGATTTGTTAAAAATGTGTTGCACATACTCCAGATAAAGATTCATCACGAGAAAAATAGGGGACGTATTACCTGGGATTGTAGGCGGGGACCCCTGCTCTCCATAACCAAGTTTAGCAGGAATTTTCAACTTCCGCTTCTCTCCGACACACATACCCAGCAGCCCTTGGTCCCATCCTGCCAGTGATTAATTTGTTAAACAAAAATAATTTCACCCCTGGTCTCCATATGCCAGGGCCCAATAAACTTCTTGCCATGCTTATGTGCCAATACACACTGAGGTATGCTTTCAATTACAAATACTCTTAAGGAACCCAAAAATAGTCACAACTTCGGATAAAAATTGGTTCCTTTCCTAGAGAGTGTTTAATCAAAGAGGTATGATCCATTCACTCTACTGCCGCCTAGAACATAACCCTGCATTTCTAATGTCTGAAATATGGTAGCCTCAAATAAGAGCTCTGTGTCAAAAATGAGGTAACATACATCTGTAAACTGTCTTCCAGCATTTCTTGGCCAAAGGGCCTACTTCCTAAGTCTAAGGCCCACCGGATGGGACACCTGATCAATGAGCAATCCCATCACATTGTGCGAATACACACATGCATCAATATATATACACACACACACACTCATAATCCATGCAATAAAGACAAGTTCTCTTCTTAACAGAATACATATACACTGGCCGCTGGAGAACCACACACCTTTGATCACTTGACCACTACCAAGCTCAAACTCAATTGGATCACCCCTTTCAAAGCTGGAATCAAAAACTGTCCCATCTGTGAGTTTCCCCTGCCCAAGTTGGTTGAAAATATTATCAATTTGAGAAATAATAACATTAAAATCAAGCATTGAGACACATTTTATTAATTTCAAAGACTCAACATCCTCTTCAGTTAGCACTTGGCCATGGGTGATGAGATCTGGAATCCATATCCCATTTCTTAATTCTGTTTCCTATAAAGGAGTAACAGAAAATTTTTCCTCCACTCTGCCTAGCTTCATGAATTCTAAAACCAAATGGTGTCCACCAACAGGGAAACCCCAGAGCCCATGCCCCTTGTGGGGAGGGGGGATTCGGAGCAATATAAAGAGAAAAAAAAAAGAAGATGCTAAAATTGTGCTCACCCGATAGTGTACTTTGATTCTATCACCCTTGTGAGCTTGGATTTCACAAGATTCCGGCTTGTACTGCAACAAAGGAAGGAAATTTTACAAGCCAAACAAAGAACAGGGTGGGTTATGGGAAAAAGGGTTGTGACTCTCATATACTTGAATATGTTGAAACAAGGTCACATCTTGTCTCCTAAAGCGAAAATCAAAATCTGAACATATTATAATAGTCACTCAAATGTATAATGCATCCTAAAATATTAAAAAGCAAAATACATGAAACAATGAGGGGCCATTACCTATTGAAATGACAATAAACAAAGGCATCAAGCGTGAGATTGTTAGTTTAGCATGAGGGCAGCAGCCTTGTGCAGTTAAATATCAAAGGTGAAGTTTGTACCTATTCGAGCCTCCTACCACCCTAGCTCACATAGTGAGACAATTAAATATTGTAGTGATACTTAATCTGGTTCAGTTCTTATCTTGAAACAAATTAGACCCACATGGCTGTCAACTGCTTTCAAAGAAATTTTGAGAGACAGGAAAAGCCAAAGATATTCAAAAAAACCTCAAAATTACAAAATTGACAATTCCAAGGATTCATCAACCAAATGAAAATCAACTTTTAATTATCTGCACAATAGCACTACGAATAATTCAAAAAAAAATCCTGAAAGTTCCACAACAAAAATATTAAAGCTCCTCAGCTGGTTATGGATGTCCTTGAATTTAAAACATGAAACAATTTGTTTAACATCATGAGTTTTTTACAGTATCTATAGAATGAGCATTGTGAACTATCTGCTTCAAAAAGATAGTGGTCAGAATGAAACACATAGACTTAATGTCGAGTGTTATAAGATTTCTCCTCTTCCTATGGATCAAAATTTTTTTTGAAGAAATCAATTATTTATAAGTTGCAATCAAAAATATGCTTAGTCATTGAGTCTTGACTCCCCTACCGTGATTGGCTTTCGGGTTGGCTAATTTCAGAATTGATCAATTCACCATTCTGAACATTGGACAGAGCTAAAGCAACGGCCTGTTCCAGAGCCGAGAGGGCAGTCCTTTGTTATATGTTTCTTTCTTTTTTTCGAAAAGCAGTTTCGGCTTAAGGGAGGGTTTCTTGACTACTTTGATAAAGTTTTCCTTGTCGGATATTTTTAAGCCGTGCAAGTCAAGTTCCAGCACTCCACGAAATCCTATCTTTTGGGCTATGCTAGTTACGGCTATCTGTCTTGTTCAAATAAAGCAAGTGGATCATAGTGACAGTGTCACAGAGAAAACTCTATTCTTTCCGTCAAGCGCTACCCTTTATCCCCCACCCCCCAAAAGGTCCGAGCCCCAAAATCTGCTAGCCCCTCGGAAAAATGTGTCTAGGAATGGTACGTGAATAGGGTTTTTAAGCCCTCACCCAACATCTATTAGTTCAATCAACACACGTTTCAAAAAGAATTTGGAAGCCGTACAACCATTTCAGCCTTCCTCCCTATTCTCTCTTAAAGAAAACTTTGAGAAAATTGGAGTAATGTAGAATGACTTTCCCATTCCTGTGAGCTGTAGAGTTTCCACAACAAAAATACTAAAGCTCCTCAGTCCTCAATTCTCTCCACAATTTCCAATCCCAATCTTAAGCAAATTCAAATGGATTTACCCAATTAGGAGCTCTCAGACGTAGTCAAACGGCAAGTTTTGAAAAACGAAATGCTACTGTTTTAAATGCTTTTTATGGTTGTCTGCCTCAGTTCATTTTCAAATGTGATGTTGCTTATGGAATACTTCCTCTTTCTTAAAATCGAAGTCAAGTTGAAGAATTTAACAGTAAAATACAGAAATCAAACGCAACTATAACCTAAAACGCAGATAATTGTGAAAAAAAGGAATTGCAATGAGAGGCATTCACCTTCACACCGATCTGTAACTCCTTTACGTCTCCTGACTTGGCCGAAACTGATGAATTAAAAAAAAAGGAACGAGATCATTACTTTATTAGTGATCAGATCCATGTATTCTTAGCTGCAAAAGATTTTAATAACAGCAGCGACAACAATTGGAAGAGAAATTTACCGAGTCTATGAGTCGTACCTAATGCAGCAAGAACCAAAAGAAACAAGATTGGAGCGGCGTTCATCACACAGCTGAAACTCATCCTCACCATCTCTCTCTCTCTGTCTCTCTCTCTGTATGCCTCTGTGATTTGTTTTTGTTTTTTTGTTTTTCTGAAATGATTATCTGATAAACAGAGAAGGGGATCAGAGCCATTATTCTATGTACTCGCGTCCATAACAACCAATTATGACATTAAAACGCAATAAAACGCGAAGCAGCCAATCAAATTATTCCACGTCAGCCAAAATGCCTTTCTATTGGTTGTGCTAGGGTCATGGATGAAACACCTTGCTGTTAAGACTTGTAAGGACTTACCCCCAAGAAACAGACCAGCATCCCGACCTAAATTTTGATACACAATTAAGTTTTGAGTTACGGAACCGCTGTGAGATTAATTGCTGGAGTGAATTAATTTTTTTTGAGTAAATTAATTATCATTAATCGTCATGAATTTAAAGATTTGTGGTGATTAAAAGGAATTCTTACTATTCATTGCTAAATTCAAGTGAGAAAAGGTAATTGTGATAGATTATGTTTTAATTTGTAATTAATTATGCTTTAATTAAAAAATCTATTCACCCACTCTAAATAATGTCTTCCGCTCCACGTGTATAATTGTGAGAAAAGATTTACATAGTTTCTATCCTTCCCAAAACAATAATTAGTATTTGAGCGGGGTTGTCATTCGTCGCACGTAGACACGCAGAGTGTTTTACCTTCTTGAGATCTATCATTACTATTAGTTAGTGTTGAATGGAGTCTCAAAAGCAACAAAGGTACCACCATTCTTCAATTGATCTAATTTTGCTTATTGGAAAGCTCGCATGTGAAAATATCTAAAATCTATTGATGAGAGAATGTGGTTGAATGTGCAAAAGAGATGGAGCCCTCCCACTGCTATCACACAAGTTGAACGAGGTGAAGCGATGGTTGAAGTAAAATTCTCAAGTACTTGGTCAAAGACCGATATTGAGTTGGCATGGTGGAACCAAAAGGCTTGAATATAATATTCAATGTC